TCAAGAGTGTCTCTTCTCTGCCATATTGTCTAGAAGTGTTCTCTTCTTATCTATATTTTCTAGAAATTCTGTCTTCTCAAATTTATTATATAAAGAGAGATTCTCCCTTCTTTCCTATCAAACGTCTATAGTCCTTATCTCCCATCTTTCTTTTCTTTGTATGTCATTCTCTAGTAGCACCATATATATTCGTCCCCCAAATGACCTATTTGTGTTGCAAATGCTGCAAAACCTTTACTTAAATTCAACCATATTATTGTCCTTACATTCTCTCATCATCCCCCCCAGGTGCTGGTGTGTGTGTGTCAAGTTGCTGAAGCGCCGCGGGGACTGGTGTCGTCTGCTGACTCTGGTGCTGAAGGCTGATGATGTGGCCATGCTGAATGACTCTGAAGGTGGGTATAGTCGAAATTGTCCAAGATGGCCACGCATTGTCGAGGAGAAAAGTGGTTGTCTCAGACAGGTCAATGTCTTGGATGGTGTCATTGTAGTTTGGTTTTTTTTAATGCAAGGGGGGAAGGAGGAAGTGGACTTTTGTAAAAGTGATTGTCTTGGACGGGTGTCTGTTAAAGCGGGTTGGACTGTACTTTGCTGGTGGTGTTCTTTAATTTTCATTTTCTCTGCCTGTCTCTTCCAGTGTTGTTTAGGGTTTTGTGGCGACATTTCATCTCACCTGCAAAAGTTTTGCTTTCATGGGTTTTACTTAATGTCCGGATCTGACATTGGTGCAGTATGTTCTGGACTGAAATTTCATTTGTAAGTTTCAGTGTCTAGATGGTTGGTTTTTTTGGGGGGGTAAGTGCTTTACGACGTTTGCAACTTCAGAAGGTCGTATGAGCGTGTGGGACACATTAAACATTTCCAGTTGGTAGAACATTTTTAATTTTGCATGGGGGTCAGCCAAAGCCTACTCTTATCCATTTTGGGCCACCAAAGGATCTATAATGTGTGCAACTTGCTTTAAGGACCGCCAAGATTTTTTGCCCTTATTGGAGAAGGCTAGTTGTTAAATCTTGCCTACCACAAGATCAGGAGTGCATAGCTGCCACTGTCCCGCTAAATAGCGGAAACTCCGCTTCATCTAGCTTGTCCCGCTACTTTCCTCCTTCCTCCGCTGGACCGCTCTCAGTCGCAAATTTCGATACACTTTTTTTTTTTACCCGCTGAAAACACAGAACCGGGAGAGAGACGAAAACGCCGCTTGCGCATGTCCGCCCGTAGCTTTCTACTTCCATTCTTCTAGGCCCAGCGCAAGTTTCACATTGTTTATTGTTGTGGAGCAACACAGTGTCGATCGGGCATTGGGACGTTGGCGCGCCGAGTTGTCATTGAAAACGGCAGAAATTCGAGAGAAATTGATGCAGAATGCAATAATAAAAGGAGCTGGAATGAGAAAGAAGCAGCCGGTGTGCGACTTGAAAAGTTCATTAGCCGCTTGCTGCACTTTGCGCTTGGTGCGAAAGAAATCGCGCCCCGCGGCACTCCTGTACAATTGCGGTCCCGTTTGTTTACATGACAGCTATTGTGGCTGTGGAAGTGAATCTAGATCTAGATAATCTATCTCTAGATATAATCTAGATCTACTCATATTTAGATATCTAGATTTTAGATCTAGATTAGATAGCCTAGGAAATAAGAAACACACTACAGGGGCACTAAGTGCAAACGGGACCGCAATTGTACAAGAGTGCCTGCCTCCTTGATCCGATACTGCTCTACATCGATGTACAATTTTAAAGTGAAAGAAATCATTTTATGAGACACCAGCTGGCAAAAAAAACACTGGATTTTTAGTCACCAAGTCCAGACTGTCAAATTGACTCGAATGCTTTTTGGTTTTTGGGTTGTTTTTTTTCTTTCAAATACATTTTAATTCAGTCGCCTATGGTTAACAATATGACAGTTTTCCCTTCCAAAACCGTAGGCTAAATTTTCCAATATTGCCTCTGGATCTCACTGGTTTTACTTCGGCCTTCGAAGAGCGCGTGTACGCCTTCGCGTGAATTTCCTCCTTTTTTAAAATTCCTGAGTGGCAGCTATGGGAGTGTGGCTAAAAGACAGCAGTAAGAAGGAGCCCAGAGGTGTCTTGATACAAGCAGCACTTGCAGTGTAGTTGGCTACTTACTTGGCCAACATGTGGAACGTTAAAGTTCAGGCTGAATTTTTTTTGTGTGTTATGGAATGTTTCCCGTCAGGCGGATGAAGACCATACTGTAGTTTTTTTTAATGAAGTTTATGTTTTGACAGATTTTTCATACCAAGGAATTGTGAACTGAAAATTGTTTGAAATTTTGAATTAATTGATAAGAGAGTCAGTAACTAAAGAGAAGAGAGGCTTCTTGTTCTTATAATTTGTTGTGATAGAAATATGACAGATTTTCATATCCATGCAGGCACATGATTCTGTGTGCACACATATTCACTGACATTTCTCCTTATTTAGCTTTCATATTTTGAATTTTCAAGTTTGCAGTATGATCAAATTGAAGTATTTAATTCTTTTGGGCTTTTTTGTCTTTTATTCTTTATTTTTAGATGGTTACCTGCCTCGGAACCTAGAAGAGTGGAGGTTTTTACTCCAAGAGTTTCAAAGAAAATCTATTCTGAAGCCACAGGACAATTCTAAACTTGAAAGCGAAAATGGATCTTCTATAACAGAAAATTTTGGTAAGAATAATCAGTTTTATTCTGAGTCGCAGCCAGAGTTGGCAGTAAGCGATTCCTCCTTGACAGCGGTTAAACAAGGCTGTACTAACAATGTGGAAGAAAGTTTCCATGGAGTCGAGCAAGAGGATAATCCAGGGGCCATCACCTGGAACAACCTGGGTTACCTGCTCCTGACTCATCTCGGCGGAGCTCTGGCTATTGAGCTGCTTACGGAGTACCTGGACAATCCGGAAGTGTCTGCCACTTGTCTCAGAGCAGAGTTCCTCTCGGCTTGCTACGCAGACTACAGCATCAAGATGGAACAACAGTAAGTTTGTCCTGTTGTGGCATAGTGGTTATAATGTTGTTGCTGTTCGTGTTGTGTTGGTGCTGCTGTTGGTATTATGGTTATTCCAACTGCCATTTCAGATTGTTGGAGGGTGCCATCGGTCGGCCCTACATTTGTTCTTTCCCTCTGTTAAATCTGTCAGTTTATCTTGCTTTTGTCCTTTCATTAAATGATGGTTATTGTGTTGATGTGCTTGTCTATACTTATACAAACAAACAAACAAACAAACTATGCTGTTGTTGTAGTTGTTGATAGTTTTGTGGTTATTCTATAGGCCGAAGGGCTAGGACACAGACGGCCGCTGATCAAAACAGTAGGGTAAAGTAAAAGTAAAGTGTCTATTCTAGCTGCCCTAAGACTGTTCTGCCATAGACCACAACAAAATTGCAAAGCCCCCGGCTCAGTGTCATTCTTGTATTTGACGTTGAAGGTGTTTGCCTCGTGATCTGTAGGCATGATGAAATTGTGCAGTTGTTGAGAAAATTAAATGTTCTCCGGGTTTGTACTGCTGAACATAGGTGTAACAGGTGGTTGGAGGGTGCTGCTGTTAGGTCCTGTTTCTTTTCTTTCCCTCTTATGTTTCTGTTATGACACAGTTATTGTGTATCTCTTTATGCAAACAACCCCCCCCCCACCAAACTTTTCGGTTTGGGGAAAAAAGCCATATCCTCCTGTTGCGGACTCACAGCTAACAACAATCAACCATGACTCAACAACCACCCCACCCCATCCCGTATCCCCCTATTCTCTGCTTTCTCCACAGTCATCTGAGTCATGAGATGTTAGAGAAAATGTCAATGTACATGTGGGCCAAGAAGCCGGGATTTGTCACTCCCTCGGTGAGTGCTTAGTTACTGAAGGATGTTACTGCATTTTTACCTGAAGGACTTACTGTGGTGTTTTTCACCTTCGAGTTTTTACTTGAAAGACTTGCTGAGTTTTTGTTTCTAGTAGCCTGTTACTGCTTTTTTAGCTGAAGGACTGTGTTTTATGTGAAGGACTTACTATATTTTTTCCTGAAGCACTGTTACTAAGTTTTTACCTGGGGACTGTTACTGAGTGTTTACCTGGGGATTATTGCACTGTTTAGTGAGTAGTGATTTTCCTCTTTGTCTGAGAGGACTTTGCTGCGAAGCAGAGTGCTCACACAAAGTTGCCAGCTCACTTTAGTTACTCCTGTAAATGACAGACAAGGATCAGACCTATCAGCCTACCAAGTTATCATGTTCCTCCCATATTCATAGACCAAGACTATTATAAACTTGAAGTACATTTGGTCTTTTGTGAAAAAAACACAACCCATAACAGATGTCTTCTTTGTTATGTTTTCTTTTTTAAAGTTTAGTAGCTTTGTGGGATGTGTGTTATCCATGGAAATACCTAATGTTTTTGAAGACTGTTTCATCTTTATTTGATGTCTTCAAGGCTTATGTTTATTTGTTCCAGGTGTACCATACGGTGAGGGTAGAACGTCGGAGTGTGGAGACTGGAGAGGGGCACGATATGAAAGTGCAAGGCATGGTAAGTACTTTTCATACATGGATCATTATTTTTTTCATAGGGCCAAAGAAAACCACCTTTGCTGTCTCAAATATTGAATTGTGAGTCATGTGCATTTTAATGGATTGTATTTGATGCTCAACTTGCTGGATTAATAAATTTGTCTATTGTTTAGTAGTTTTTGAAATATTTCACGGTGGACAGAGGCAAATTTGTTTTAATTAGTCTGTGCTAAAGATGCAGCGTCTAAACTTAAGCAGAGACAAGTGGAACCCATGACCTTTTCATTATGGTCATGAGTCTGGCAGGCGAACTGCTCTGTCATGGAGGCCATGGTCACTCGGAACAACCTCCAAGTAATTTCTCAGATTAGCTACTTTCCTATCAAACGTCTATCGTCCTTATCTCTCTCCTCCATCTTTTCTTTATATGTTACTTTCTAGCAACACTTCTTATCTTTGGCACTTATATGACCTGTTTGTGTTGCAAGTGTCGTAAAACTCTTACGAGAACTTTTTTTAAAAGCTGGCATATGGTCTCACTTCTTGCTGATGTTGTGTCTGCAGTGTGCCCAGGTACAAGGGATGTCCAGCCAGGACTTGATGGCCGAGTACCTGCCCGGCCACTGGGGTCAGGAAGTCAATATCTATGGGTAGGTTGTAAACTATATCTTTTTCTCATTAGACAAGTTTTATATTTCTTCAGTTTTTCCTCTATGATTTATGGAGCTGGTGTGTAAGTGTAAGTGTAGCATTCTAATCTACACTGTTTTCCCCTATGCGATGAAAAAAAAAGGATGTTCTCGTATTTTTAAAAAATGTAATTGTTTTACACCTATAAGTGTTTTACACTCTCACCGACACAATTTAGATTTAACTTTGACTGTTGGAGCCAACCTGGGCTGGGAAGGGATACAGGGTCCTAGCAGAAAGACCGAGATATTTAATAAGAATATTTCCCCACGCATAAGTCGCATTTCTGCGTGCTACTGCGAAGTGCCCAACTGCCACAGCTCAGAGCCCAGTATGTTCTGGTATTCCCGAAAATTTGATTTTGAAATAATCAAAATGTCTTTCAGCAGAATCCCCCTACCCCTCGTGCCAGGTATGAGCAGCAAAAGCTCTCTGTTTTCCTCGCCTGTTCAAAAGGGTGAAATGGTGTAAGACTTTGTTATCTTTCCTGTTGTAAAGCGTTTTGAGCAGTTACAAAATGGAAAAGCACAATACAAATGTGGTTCATATTTATCATTATAATTGTTATTTTCATAATTAATCTTGTTAGTGGGTGGTTGGCAGATGCTCTGGTGTGGATTGCCTCTTCTTTCCTATGAAACATCTATCGTCCTTATCTCCCCTTCTTCTTTTTTATGTTTGTTACCCTTTTGTAACACCTCTAATCTTCTGGTGCTCATATGACCTTATGCAGTTGTGAGCGCCGTAAAACCTCTACTAAAACTAAACTAATCTTCTTATGTTTTGCTATTTGTCTGCAGGCCATGCCCATGTTGCAACCTGCCTCTGAAAAGTGTCGTTTCCCTCAGCTCTCCTGGTGTGGCTGTCTTTCCTTGTGGTGAGTACTTCTTGGAGAGGGACATTCTGTCACCACTAAAGTGTGTTGTGTTGGGACATTCTGGGTCATTTGAATATGTTTTGAAAAAGAGGAGGGACATTCTTTCATCATTTCAATGTGTTTTGAGAAAGAGTAGGTATTTTTTTATCATGATAGTGAAAGGATATTTTGCTATTTTGTTTGATTTCATTTTAGTATTTCATGAAAAGTTAAAATTTCCTTCGTGGTAGTTTTTCAAGGATGAGTCGGTTCATATATGTATTTGTTTTAGGGGGTTGTCTACACATGTAAATTGGAGTACTGCATTTTTGATTTTCTTGACCAAAGAATGTTGCTTTTTGTGGGGTTTTCTTTTCCATATAAGTCATCTTTATAAATGCAGAAAATGTTGTAGTCAATAATTGTTATGTCTGTTTGCAGGTCATGCCTGCCACAAGCGTTGTGCACCCCAGTCTGTCTGCCCTCTTGATCACCCGTCTGTCACAGCAGCCAATGGATGACGTTGATGCAAAGCCCTCTACTGTGTGCTCTCTGCGTTATTTTTTTCCGGAATGTTAATCTATTGTTATTTTTATGGTTTTTTTTTCTAACCTGAGCTTGGCTTGATCTTTGAGATGGTGTAGCTGGGTTTTCTGTTTTGAAATCAGGGTCTAAGAAAGTTCTCAAATGTCACAGCAGCAGCTTCCTTTGTCGTGTCACAAGTGATATTCTTGTACATTCCACCTGTTGTATACTGATGTTTCTTAAAAGGAGGGGATGAGAAAGAAGGGGGAGCGGGCTTGTTGGAAGTTATTACATTTGCAATATGGAGCCCTGCATTTTCTTTTCTTTATCTTTTTCTTTGTTTGAGGGTGCTCTGAGCTCAGCTTGTACTGTCATGATGAAATAAGATACAGGTGACTCTTGTTGAAATCTCCCACTGGGTGTCCCTTTAGTTTGCTTATTGAGGAGGTTTTCATGGCTTTACTTCAACTTGGCTCTGTCGTATTTAAGATGGACTTCCTCCCTTTTGAATCACTGTAGTTTGTTGAAAATGAATGAAAACCCAGAATAAATCAAAACTGTATGCAACAAGGTTTGAACCAATGATGAAAGCTCCAACTTCCATAAGGTCATATGTTTGATGGCCACATGTGCTAGGTCAGCTGTCTTTAAAAAGAGTGGTATGTCTACCAAGTTTACATCTCTTGAAACTGATTCTTAGCAATAAAGCTTTGAGAAGAGAAGGGAAGGGAAGAGGTAAAGACCGTAAAAATTACTTGTTACAAAGGATCTAAGAGAGTTGTTGTGCAGTCATGCAAACTTGCTTCCAGAGGCTACAGGGTTATGAATTATTGCTTGAGCTTTGAGATGCAATATTTGAAAATACTGCATCTACTGACCTCTAATACTAGACTTTTTTTTAAAATGACGTTCAAAAGTATACACTTGCCCCA